TCCGTGTCCACAAGCTTCAGACCCATGAGCACATGCCAGTGTCAGATGGTTGCAGGAACATCTGAGGGAGCCCTGGGGAAGCAGGGTCAGGCAGGGCAGGTGAGGCTTGCCAGGCAGGAAAAAGTGAGGACAGCACAGGTGCCCCTGGGCTGGACGTGGGGATGCGGGATTCGGGCCTTGCCCAGGACGGTCGGCACTGACGTGTGCGCTCACGAGGACCGCATGCGCATGCTTGTGTGTGTAAAGTGACACTTGAGCCAGCAGCATTAGTTACGAAGTAAATGCACTTATCTAAGGAAATGCTTTCAAACTGTCATCCTTTTCTTGTCTGGAAGCACTTTGACACAGACACGCAGGATCTCTCAGGGATTGAGTGGGCCCCGAATGGCTGTGTGCTGGCAGCGTGGGACACCTGCTTGGAGGTATAGCACATGGCGAGCAGCACATTGCTCTCCCGAGCATTCGCCTGCAGGTACCTGTGTGCTGTTAGTGCAGCGGGCTGCGGGCGCCGAAGCACTGCACTCAGCGCCTGTGACGTGTCCACATGTCTCATCTGCAGTACAAGGTTCTGCTCTACTCCTTGGACGGCCGCCTGCTGGCAACGTACTGTGCCTATGAGTGGTCCCTGGGCATCAAGTCTGTGGCTTGGAGTCCCAGCAGTCAGTTCCTGGCCATTGGGAGCTACGATGGAAAGGTACAATGGAAATGGCTTAGGGTGCAGGACACTGGCAGCTCCGTTAGCTGTGTGCATGCCATTATCACGGTTCCTTCCCCAGGTTCGCCTCCTTAATCATGTGACCTGGAAGATGATCACCGAGTTTGGGCATCCTACAACTATTAATAATCCCAAGACGGTAAGTCTGTACACATCCTCACTTGAGCACAGCATTTTGTCCAGTGCTGTAGGGCACTCTTGACCTTTCTCCGTTGTGGTGGTATTGTCTTCCCCGTTCCTGAACCCTCACACACTCCTTGGTCAAAGGTGTGTCTGGTCTAGGTTCCTCTCTGGACTGTGCCTCTGTCCTAGGCAGATGCTGTGCTTACTCATGCGCTGTCATCTGTAGATCCCTGGTGTTTGCAGAAGAAGCTGAGGAGTCCTGAGCATCTGCCTCCTGCCAGGCCCTGTGCTCTGGACTTCTACCAGCATAGAGCAGACAGACAAGCAGGGAAGGGCCAGGAGAGTTGGTCTGTGTGGACCTCAGGTAGGGTAGCCCAGGTCCAGGAACCAGCAAGTAGTTGAAGGAATATTCTGTAGCTCAGTGGTGTTGGTTCCTCCTTGTCTTCTGTCAGTGGTCAGGACCAAGGACAGATTTCTGCTTCCTTTGGACAAGGAAGGGCCGAGGCACAGCTCAGGACTTAGCTGTCTCAAAGGCTGTGTCAGCAGAACTGTGCAGGAAGGAGCTGGGCTTTAGTCAGGGTGCTCTTCCAGTAGTATTGGTTGAATTTGGCTACGCAGACTGCCTGTGGTTCATGCGTCTAAGTCTCTTCACCATGTGTATGGCAGTTTCTCTGCCTGGGACTGTGGTGGACCTAGTGTATGAGTCGGCTGTATGCCACACAATACCCGAGACAGGGTCAGCTTAAAAGAGCAAGTTAATTTGGCTCCTAATGTCTGAGGTTTCGGCCCCTGGTCCCGTCATCTTTTACTTTGTGCCAGTGTTGAGGCAACACATTGTGGTTGGGAATTAATGGTGGAACGGAGCTGCTCTTACAGTGCCAGGGAGCAGGAAGGACAAGTGAAGTCCCATCATGGCCGTCAAAGCCTTACCTCCAGTGCCTTCTCCCACAAACTGTCTCAAGTCACTACCAGGTCCAGTAGTGCCACAGGCAGGCAGCCCTACACTAGCACCACGTCTGAGAGGCCTGTTTGTTTGCTGCTCCCACAGCCTTGCTGCTACTTAATGTCCTCTGGCCTGGCCCCCGTTATTCTTCATTATGCTGAAATGAACACACAGGCTGCCTCTGCACAGCTGTGACATGGTTCACCATATAAACACAGTCAAGTGTTGCTCCCCATCTCCCGAGGACAGCCTGGCCAGCTGTCCTTCACTGCAGAGGGTCGGACTGGCTGCTGCCTCTGCCCAGTTAACTTTGGTACTGGCACTTAAGTTGAGCCAGCTTGCCCTGGGCTCCCCGGTTCTTGTCAGTCCTGGTCAGTGAGTGTCCACATTGTGTTTTTCAGGTTGTGTATAAGGAAGCTGAGAAGATCCCACAGCTGGGGCTGGGCCATCTGTCCTTCCCACCACCCCGAGCAATGGCTGGTGCCCTTTCTACCTCAGAGAGCAAATGTAAGCAGAGGCTGTGCCTTCTGTGGAAAGAAGCTTGTTGTGTCTTAGATGAGGGCCCTCTGTCCGCAAGTGCAGCACCTCTATCTCAGGCGCGGTTTGTTGGGGTGGGGGAGGAGACCATGTCTCAGCCCGGCAGCATTCACAGGTGTGTTCCCTGTGAGCCCACCTTTCCCACACTGCAGGCACTGCCCTCTCACCTGTCACTGTAGCCCAGGCTAACAGTCCTGGCACTCTAAGGCATCCTTTTAAATACAGTGCTCTGAGGGCACCTCAAAGGGATTTGGGAGGCAGAGAGAACACGAGCAGACACTTAAGCAGACACTAAGCAGTGGCTTAGCCAGTTCTGGAATAGGGACCTTGAGCTTTGACTTCCTGCCCTGCAGGCAAGGGGACAGGGACCTGCAGGTGTGAGGGGACAGCAGCTGTGTAGTGCAGGCTTGGAGGGTTGTGGGCAGCCAGGCTTGAGGTGCTGCTCACGGTGGCCTGTATTTACCTAGCCATCTTCTGCTGTTGACGGTTCTCTCATTCCCAGCTGGAAAGGAGTGGCCATGTGTGTCCCATGATGCTGGAAATGAGTAGAACCGCCGGATGTTCACATAGCCGGGACCAGTGTGATCTTTCCAGCTCAGAAAGCAGACCTAAGCAAGCGCATACCCTTCTGCGCTCCAGACTGCATTGTCCTGTCCCCACTTGGGCCCCCGTAGGCAGCAGAAATGTCCCCTAGGCCTCATTTCTCAGCTGCTCCAAAACCATCTTACCTTCCCATGCTTCTAGGCGTGTTTTCCCTTCCCTCTGTCTGCCCTTCCCCACCCTTAACCATTCCTTCAGCATGTTCTGTTGGTATTCCAGATGAGATCGCCTCTGGGCCGGTTTCCTTGCAGACGCTGAAGCCAGTAACCGACAGGGCGAACCCTAGGATGGGTGTGGGAACGCTGGCTTTCAGCTCTGACAGCTACTTCCTGGCAACAAGAAACGGTCAGCGTCACACGCACGGGCAGGGCTGGCGCTCACTGTACCCTTTGACACCAAGAGGAGTGAGTGGGGAATCAGGAGGGCAGCTGTGTGCTGGTCTCCCTGTCTTTCTGCTGAAATGGACACTTTGCACAGCAGCTCCCTCGGCTTGGTAGTCAGCACATGCCCTGGCTGCCTGCCTGCTTCCTACTGCAGGCCTTCTCAATGCACAGGAGCAGGGGTCCAGCATTGCCCTCTAGGAGTCTGGCTTTGTTGTTTTTTGTTTTTTGTTTTTTTTTTTTTAACCTCTACAAATATCAAAACCACAGGAAAGAGGGATTGTAGCCTTGGGAAGCCTTTTCTTCATTTTGGGTGCTGGTCCCCAAGAGCCAGAGTTTGCTTGCAGAGGGCCAGCACTGACATGTGTCCTCTCTGCTTCCTTGCAGACAATGTCCCCAACGCTGTCTGGGTGTGGGACATTCAGACGCTGAAGCTGTTTGTGGTGCTGGAGCATATGTCTCCAGTGCGCTCCTTTCAGTGGGACCCACAGCAGCCACGGCTGGCCATCTGCACAGGAGGGAGCAAGGTGTACCTGTGGTCGCCGGCAGGCTGTGTGTCCGTGCAGGTCCCCGGGGAAGGTGAGCATAGCCCGCCACAGGGGCGTGGGCTCAGGGTAGGCTGGCCTCAGACAGGTCCACCTGCTCACACCTGCAGCCACGTGTCAGCGCCACGCGCCCTCCACATCGTGGAGGGAGTTCACGGGACCTTACCTGGTGTGCACTCCTGTCAGGGAGCCTGTGGCCCTGCGCTTTACAGGCTTCGGCTTCCGCGCGTGGGGTCGCCGCGCTCCTCACGCACAGGCTTCCTCCTACAGGGCCTGGTTTCTAACTCTCTGGCCACCCGTCTCTCTAGGTGACTTTCCAGTGCTTGGACTGTGCTGGCATCTAAGTGGGGACGCCCTGGCCCTCCTGAATAAGGATCACTTCTGTCTCTGCTTCCTGGAGACCAAGGAGGGGGCTGGCACAGCCTGTGGACAACGGGACAGCCATGCCTAAGACCTGAGTGGATACTGAGGCAGCGGGTGCTGGCGCTGCTGATCCCAACTCTAGCAACAGCTACATAGGCTCACCAGGTGGGATGGGATATTCTGCCCAGTTTTCTGAGGTGTTTCTGTAAATATGTATAAAGTTATAATGTAAAATAGGTATGTGCTAATCCATGGAACAATGGTGGTCCTTTTCTTCAAGGCCTTAGGTCACAGGTTCAAGGTCTGCCTTGGAGGATGAAGAATCCTGAAGTAACACCAACCTCCCATACGGCTCTGCTGTTCCCTGAGCCGTTTTCAGTCAGTGCTTTGAACAAGGGAAGGGTGGACCACTGTGGGAACTGTCCGCCCCTCTGCTGAGCTCAGAAGTGCTGTGAGCCCAGCCCCTGTGCCTGTCCCCGTTTGGGCTGTAAGTCCCACAACAGCTGGCCAGCTCTCCGGCCTTGCAAGTCATTTCTGCACGGAGGCCTGGGTCTTGTAGAGTGGAAGTGCTCAGCTCACCCAGCACAGCCCGTATCTCTAGCAAGTGCCTCGACAGCAGCCAGACCAGAATGTTGGCCCTGGTGAACAGGATGCCAGCTAGACTCTGTACTTGCCCATCTGAGCTTTTGTGAAGAGGACTACTGGCAAGTGTCCACAAGGGTCACCGAAGATTCAGTTCCTCAGGCCTCAAGACAGTCTTTGGTTGGTAGTAACCTCAGAAAGGAGCAACTCCATTTGATTTTAAATGTCTTTACTACAAGACCAAAAGCACAGGCTGAAGACTAGGTGCATCTGAGGTCACCTTCCTCTTGAACAGGCCATGACATTCTGGTCACATCCATGCTGGTTAACTTAAAGCTGTGGCAGAGGTAATAAAGTGACAGGCCAACATCTATAGTAGACTGACAGGTGCTAGAGCCATAGGGACAAGCTGTGGGTAGCTGGCGTGCCAAAGCCCAACGCTCAGTTGGTGGGGTTCCAGGAGGCTTGTCTGTTTACTTATAAACATGCACTTCTTAAACCAAGGTATTCAGTCCCTTTTAAACAGAGACAGGATGATAGAAACCCGCCACTGTGACTTCCGGGAGGGGCTGGATCATGAGACTGGCCTAGGAAAATTATTGTATTAACACCACTTAAATTAGCTTACAAAGTGTAGCTTTAAGTCAGACACATTCACTAGGAGCTCTCGGCAGACTGTTGGTGACCAGTCCGCTGGCTGCTGTTGTGTTCGGCTCTTTTAAAAAATAAGCTGAGTTTCACAATACAAGCCTTGACAGGGAATGTGAACGCATGTGTACTGGCCAGTCACTGGGCTCCACCCTGTGTCCCAGCAGATGTGGGCGGGACAAGGGACACTGGAGAAAACGAGAGTGGAGTTACAGAAGAAACACTGGCGTGGGACAGCAGTCCTTCTGCCTTTACAGATCATGTTGTCAAGGCGTCAATATCCTAGTAAATATATATAATTAATGTCACTATTCTAATCAGGTACATACAAGGGCGATGCCCTTCTTCCCTCCAGCCACTGTGGGTGGCGTGAGGTGACGTGTAGAGTCCCCGCCACTTTAGTTTCCTACGATGCAGCTCTCTAGAAGCCTATCTTGCCCCTGGTCATGGAGTAGCCCAATTTGGCTTCGTTGTTAATGAAGGACATCAGCCCCACGTAGGTCTCGATGAGGAGAGGGCGCTCCAGCACCAGCACGTTATTCATCTGTCCGGGCAGGGGGCTTTCCTTCTGGGCTTTCTTGACAGCTTGAATTACAAGAGCCTTGAAGCTTTCCAACTTTAAAGAGAATAAACACAGCGCTTCAACCTCAAGAACAGACAACAGGTGTGCACTAAGTGGGGAACAAGGGCCCTGAGAAGTTCGAGTCCTTCCAAACACCATGTACAGTCTGACACCTCTGATGACAGGCCAGCCTCTAAGAGCTGTATTATCTTGAGTCATCCTGTGCAAACATTACAATGGGACTCATGTTAAGTCCACTCTAGAGAGGACTAGCCTCTCATTAAAGTGCAATCCAGACTCAGTAACCTGAGACAAGGTGGACAAGGTGGACAGCATCGCAACAGGCAGCAAACCTTATCACAGACACACGCTGTGGAGTGATGGTGCACTCAGCGGCACCATCACACTCCCCAGCTACGCTGTGCGCTTAGTGACAGGGAGCATCACAGGAGGAGGAGTTCATGAGGACTGTCACCTCATGACAGGACTTTCTCAGCCCTGCTGTAGCCTGTCCAGAGTGTGACGTGTAAGCAGTGCACTGCGCTCCGGGCTCCCTCAGCACTTCTCCCATGTACTCACCTGTACTGCAGGCTTCTCCCGTGCTAACCTACCCAGTCCAGACTGAGCATCCTGCAGTGGGCCGGGGTCTTCCTCTGCTCCCTGAGGCCCCTATCTACAACGCTGGCTAGTTTCCAGGTGTCAGGAGCTGCCCCTCAGTGCCTACACTTGACAGTACAGCCCAGGATAGAGCAGTCGCTGCTGGGGCCCAGGGTGTGGGTCTGCTTACGTGGCACAGAGACGCTGTCTTCTCATCCATGCCAGCCATCGGGTGTTCTATGAAGGTGGCATAGGGCATGTTTGTAGACCAGGGGTTCCATCTGTTGATGAAAGAAGGGCGGCTCTGCTTGTCCCACTGAATGCGAACCCCAAAGCCTTCTCGCCTGAGGGGAGGGGGGAAGGGGAGAGAGCCTTGCTTACCACATGAGTATAATATTGCAGGCAGCATCAGGGATGGCTGGGAAAGCTGTGATTTGGTCTCTAATGATGGTCTCCACTAGCTACTTAACATTCGTTCAAAGTGTAAGAAGTCAGTGTCTTGATGATACTAAGTGTCATCTTACAGCCTGTGAAACAGGTATACAGTTCAACCTGGCCAAACTATGGACTGTTTTTTTCTTTATGTGTTACTGAATGATGCTGAAGTTTGTAGCCATTAGCTTCCTGGATTCCCTATTAAAATAATTCTTTTATAGCAAGCCAACCAGCTCTTGGCAACTGGCTGTTGGGTGTTTATGGAGTTATCGAATTTTTAGTACGATCAATTGATCAATATGCTTTTCTTTTAAACGACCAGAAAAAGACTGAACACATACTCTGTGTCTCCTTCCTGCTGGAGGTAAAATGCCCAGCTGTGGGGAGTACTCTGGACTCAACAAAGCTTTGGTCTGCTTCCACATATCCTAAATAGTTTTCAGTGCAGAGACTGCCAGCATCCCTCTCAAGGAAGTACTGGGCCACACTGAAAGCACCAGCTTCTATTTTAAGGTCCTTTTCCACTGGTCTTTCAAGATGCGACCTTATAGCTCACCAAAGACCGAAACAAAACCATTTACGCGGTCCTCTGGGGACCCGTGCACCTACTTGTTGAGCGACTTGGGAGGAAACTGGAATTCTCCATAGGAGATGGTGTCTACCGCGCTAAGTGCCACCCGGACCACCTGCTGGCACTGAAGGCTGATGAAGTCATATTTGCAGATGAGCAGTGACTGGTCGGTGACCAGCACCAGCCGCTCCTTCTCGTTGTTCCAGTGGTCCACCCTGGAGGAAAGAGGTCCGCCTGTCACCAAGGGCCCCGCCCGCTCCCTGCTAAGTGTCCCGCAGCCCCCACGCGCGCTTGCGCCGCCTTACTCGGTCAGCAGCCACACCCCCTGGATCTCGCCGTCCTCCACAGGCCGGACCACGGCGCGGATCTCCTCCACCGCCTGCTCTATCGTGCCGGGCCGGAACACGAAGTACTCCTTGACTCGGGCGCGGCGTGTAGGGTCATGGACGCTCAGTGGCCACAGTGTCTGGCGCAGCGGCGTGCCCGCCCCCGGCCGGCCCGCGCCCGCGTCCTCGCCGGCCGCCAGCAGCGCCGTGGGGCTCGTGCCCGCCGAGTCCACCGTATCCCGCAGCTGCAGCATTGCGCCGCCACCCGCCGGCTCCTCGGACGCGGCCGCCGCCCCGGCGTCACCCCGGCTGCGTCCCACCCTTCGCCGCTTCCCGATTGGCTGCATCTCACAGAGCCCCGCCTCCGGCTTCGCATATCGCGCCTCGCGATTGGCTTTTCCTCAGCCGTCTTCTGCAATTGGCTCCGTGTGCTGCCATTCATATTCACGCTGCCCCGCCCCCGGCCGGAAGCAGCCGCCACGCGCGGAGCCACTTCCTGTTTACTCAACTGGAAAGGCTAGGAGAAAGTGCAGGTTGTAGGTTCCTGGATTAGGACAGGAAAAAATGTCATAACCGGATTTACGTGGAAGGCGGGGCTCGCGCGAGGGGCGGCGCCCCGACAATGTGTCCTCGAATTGGCTCTATGCCCTTCACCTCCGGAGTTACTGTGTTGTTCGGGGTGTGGCGCTAGGCGGCGGTGTGCGGCACACCGAGGAGGTGTGTGTGCCTGCGGAGTGTAGAAATGGGGCATCTGAGGATTGTGGGCAGCCCATTTGTGGGAGCCTCAGATATAGGCATCTCAGGGGTGTGCCTCATGCCTGTGGGTGGGCAACTCAGGTATGTGACCTTGTTGGGTGGGCACTTGGAGACGTGGATACCATGGGCATCTGGAGCACCTTTGGTGTGTGGGTTTATCGGGTATTTGCACGCCGTGGAGGTATGAGTACCTGGGGGCTACATCTAGGGGGTGTGCAGGTCGGAGGTGGACGGCAGACATTTGTTCTTACTGGGCATGATGCGCACAATAAGCTTCCACGTCACAGAAGAGACTTGAAGAAAGCATTACTGGATGCCCTCAGGGCCCTGCAGCTCCTTCCGGGGAGAGAAACCCTGCCTAGCCTACTTCATCCAACCCAGCAGGCTCACAGTGGGATAACGGCTGTCTTTAAGTGGGTGGTTTGTGTATAAATTCATATTAGTTAAGTCTCCTGCCCTGCTCTTGACGCAGCGCCCTCCATCTGTCCAGATGCTGGACACAGTCCTGGACTCAGCTGTCCTAGGAGCCTAGCTGACCCCCATGCCACCCTCCATCGCACTGTCCCCACAGGCTTCGTGACAGTTCAAATCCCTACCAAGTAGTCACTTCTGACTTCCCTGTCTCTGTCACGTTCTCTCTGGTTCCCTTCACTGCATTGCCTTTTGCCTCCGGTGTACTGTGTTCAGTTATGGAGTCCTGGTTCAAAACGCTTGCCTGGGAGGCACTTGCCGTTCCCCAGGGCTCTGTGTTTGCTTCATTCTTTGTTCCAGGCCTGTGTGTGCCTGTCATACTGCTCCGTGTGGATCTGTGTGCACAGGTATATATGGAGGGTGGGAAGGTTTGTGGATGTAGCCCTTTGCTTGTGACGGGCACTCTGGGCTCTCTAACAGTGGCAGAGTTCTTCCCACTGTTGTAAATGTAGGATTGGAGAGAGGTTTGGAGCGGTCCTGTAAGTGCCTGTGGCCATACAGCACCAATGATGAGCACAGTCCCTCAGTGTAGACAGCATGGAGCAGCCAGAGCTTCTGCCCCTGGGTCCTCTTGGAGTTGGGGGTGGTTTGGGGACCACACAGCACTCCCCCATAGTCACTTATACTACATATCAACCCTGGCAGTAACAGGAGAGGATGAACTCGGTTAGTTAGTGCTAAGACTACCCAGTGTGGCTGAGAACTGCATCCTGCTGTGGGCTGGGACCTTCCCCTCACCGTGGGCAGGCTTCTCTGTCAGCCAGCACCCAGACCAGCCCCTGCAGCAGCTTGTGGGACTGGGACTCCCTGGGCAGCCTGAGTCAGTGGGATGGGCCACTGCCACCCTCTGTGCTCCGTTCAGTATGGAGGGCAGGAGAGCCTAGGCCCGGTAAGGCAGCTGAGGGGAGGGGAACCCAAACTCTTAGGTTCGAATCCTGGCCCTCTGTTTCTGTCTCCCATCAGCTGTCTGTGGCTCTGTGGCCTTGTCTCAGTGGGGCCACCATGCCTCCCATGGCCCTTGAGAGCATTGAGTGAGTCAGACCTGTGTGATAACTTCCTGAGAAGATGCGTTCACCCCAGATAGGGCACTAACGACAGACCAAAACAACAGTTCTACACACGTGGGGCTGAGCACACTAATGATTTCACTGGGCTCAGTTATAGAAGCAGAGATGAGGGGTTACTAGGAATGTGGGTGATGCCCAGACAGCTACCTAGCCCCAACATGGATGACTCTCTCCTTTGTTTCTCACCTGTGAACTGCAACACCTTCACCAATGATAGACAGCTGGAATACAATTACAACAGAGAGGGGACCCGGGAGGCTGTGGCCAGAATCTAACGACCTTCTCTCACTTCCTCTTTCTATGTGGGATCCCTAGGGGTAGGCAGAACAACTAGGCTGGGAGCAGTTTGAGATGGAAAAGAATGAGGAGCATCCAAAGACCCTGTGCTGTGCATTCTGGGAGGAGCTAGAGGCTGATAAAGATGGTTTTGAATATATGAGATTTTTAAAAAGGATGGGATACTGACTAGGGATGGTGTGGAGTTAGGTGAGTGTCCACATTTGGGGAGGGGCAGTCATGGTGGCTGCAGACAAGGGATACAAGCAATAGTCCCTGTAGGAGCATTGCCAGGAACACTCCCTCCTATAAAAACGCCACACGGTGCAGGTGTGTGGATGCCAGCAGAAACCACAAGGCCCCTGGGTCAGGGAAATCCTGATGGTCTGCCAGGACAATGTGACTTTTCTAACAGTCACCAAGACATAGTTTACACTCAGGAGTGAATGACTGCCCAAGATCACTTTAGCTCTGGGGGTAGTCTGTGTCTTGACAGTCATGGGGGCTACTGAATCAGCCGGCAGGGCCTTTTCCAGTGAGTGTGGCTTCTTCAGAGAATCCAGCTCACAGCTGAGGTCTCTGGGACACAGCTAGGAGCAGCCATGATGACAGGAATGCCCGCATAGGTCCCTGAGCCCTCTGTGGATATGGGGAGTGCGCTGGCCGCCCACAAAGCTGAGAGTGGACGGGGACGGCATATGGCCAGCTAAGTGCATACAAGACACTAAGCAAATGTCATTCTGCGGCTTGCATGCACCCTAGGTGTAAGAGAAGTCTTCCTGGTCCACTTCCATAGACGGCATTTAGAACTCACCTAAGGGCCACAGCTCAGCAGGTGCTCCGTGTCTGTCCCCCGCAGAGGGACGAGCAGCTGGGCTTGCTCACCTGGGAACCTCAGTACACCTTAAGGTTGGCAAGTCAGACAGTCTGCTCTAAGACAGAGCCTGTGCATCAGGAAATGGGAGGAGAAGCTCTGGTTCCAGGAGGATGGGGAGTTTGAAGTGGGGATCATGCTAGAAAAGCGGGAGAGACAGCCACTCTCTTCGGCAGCCTCGGAGGAAAAGGGCAGAAATGGTTTTAGATCGGGGACTGCCAAACCCATAGTTCTCAGCCTGACACATCTGCACACTGATCATTTTTGCCTTTGGTCCACTCTGAAACATGACATCTAGAGAAGTGAAAATAAATCTGTCTCACTTTTACTACCTGGTGTCTCCAGCATTCTCACCGTGAATAAAGACCATTATGTCTGCTGTGAGGCTGCCAGGACAGGGTACAAACTGGCTTGCTGGAAGCAGCAGAAGCATACAGTGAGGTTGCTGAGACCGGATGGCCAGAACCACCGTGTGCGTGTGTGCGTGTGTGTGCGCGCGCGTGCGCGCGCGCATGTGTGTGTCCTTTCTGGTAACTGAGGGCACATCCTTTGCCTTTCCAGCTGCTGGTGTGGCCAGCCATTCTGGTGCCCCTCAGCCTGTGGCTGCCTGTCTCTGTAGGCTGTCTTTACATCACCATCTTCACTTTCTCTCTTGTAAGGGTTCCTGACATACTGGCTTGGCTTACCACTGTAATGGCCGACTCTTGGCCTAATGGTGCTCAAAGACTCTGTTTTCTAAAGATGGTAATGGTCACGGATACTAGTTGGGACTTGAATGAACCTTTAGGGGCTCCATAATTCAGCTGGTGATGGTGGATTCATGCAGGTGAAGCGATGAGGTGCTGCATTTACACCATCTCCACATGTGCACATAGCAGTGTTGGGGACAGGGGCAGGGAGCGGTGACTATGACTAGGAAAATAACAGCTCTGACGCTCCGGAGCTTTCAGGAGGCTGTTCCCAAAGTGGTCAGCAGAGGGGGCAATGACCCACAGCCTTCCTGGGGAGGCCACAGCTTCACAGCTTGGCAGGCAGTTTAAAGTCCTAGGTGAAACCATTGTCTTCCTGCAGAAGACTCAGAACCTTGGTTATCAAGAATAAATTCTCATCTTAACTTCCTGATGCTTTGACTTAGCATCAAAGGGTGGGTCCTCAACTCCACCCTCCTTTTAAGGTGCTGAGAGTGGATCCCAGGACGCCCACACGCTGGAGGCCAGCCTTCTGCCCCTTGGATGCCTCACTCTAAGACCAAACCCCACATCTAATACCTGTGAGGACGCAGGAGTGGGGTCTCCTCCAGGAGCTGCCATTACCGCCCACACAGAGGGTTGCTGTGTGTGCACAGGGCATGTCTCTCGGCTCTCCCCTCCTGGAAATTGGCCGCAGGGGCAATCCGCACTGCCACCAGCTCTGCAACGGTGCTTTGACATTGCCCTCAGTCACGGACTCCAAGCATCTACAACAGAGGCAGAGGTAATTCTGACAATGAACCCAGTTTCCAGGCTGGAGAGATGGCCCAGCAGATAAAGGTGTTTGCTGCCAGACTTGATGACCCGAGTTCAATTCCTGGGTCCCACATGGAAGGAGAGAAGTAATTAGTGCAAATTGTCCTCTGACCTCCATATACTCTCTGGCATATATATGGATACAGACAAAAGTTTTACAGTGAGTTAAATGCACACACACAGGAGAAACCAGCTCCTAACCACTAAGGCACAGGGCTGTAGCATAAAGCTGCCAGCTCCAGACAATGTGCACTTACGGGAAATCAGCCCGGCTACAGGCTGGGCGCCCCTCACAAACTGTTTCTATGGTAACTTTCCAACAATTGCCAAGACACCAGGAGGCTGATTTTGCTC